TATTCACAAGTGGCATACATGCAGGCTTACATGAGCCACATGGCCAAACACTCACAACAGAAATACCCCTGGCGATAACACACAAGGCGATAGCTCTCTCTCTACACACACGACTTTACACGCATGGTGGTAGTTCTCTCTCTCTACATGCATGGTGTTACCCCCTTCTCTCTCTTCACAAGCGGAATTACCCCTTCTCTCTCTTCATGCACGGTGTCATCCCTTCTCTCTCTTCATGCATGGTATTACCCCTTCTCTCTCTTTACCCAAGGTGTTACCCCTTCTCTCTCTCCACTCATGGCATTACTCCTTCTCATCAGACTCCTACCACCGCGTGTGTCTCTTCTTCCCAACGCCGCATGTGCACCCTAAGCTAGTAAAATCTAGGGCATCACATAAAGAGTACCCGGTCTCCTAGGAAATCAGCACATCAGGAGTCCAATTCTCCTCATTTGTCAAATCTGATCCCGAGGTAGTCATCTCCTACTCATGACCATTCCTTCTCTCCACATCTCTCAGACCGACTTCGATGCCATGGTCACCTGTAGCTTGCAAGGTAGACAGATCCCGGGCATCCAAAACTTCAACTCTTTATCAGAAGCCTTACACGGCTTATATCGATCAGCTCCCATTTCCCCCAAATTACCAAAAAGGGAAAATTTTGCTCTTCAATGGCACGAGTTCGCCTCACCAGCACATTGCCCACTTTTGCTCGGCATGTCAAGAGACAGCAGCTGATGGGAGGCTTCTTCTTCGTCAGTTTGTTGAAACCCTTTATGGGCCAGCATTCAAGTGGTATGCAGGATTTCCTCCGAACTCAGTGTAGATCTGGGAGGAAATGGAGTAGTTGTTTTACAATGCTTCTATGAGGTTGAAAGGGAAGTCCAAACTATCGAGCTTCTCATGATAACCCAGAATCTAGATGAGCCGATCGATCAGTTCATCGCCAGATGGAGAGATCTAGTTGTGCATCAAGCTACTCCCATGCTAAAAATCGACGCAGTCCAAACATGTGTGCGCAACATGCAGCCCGAAATCTCCCTGCATGTTGAGGAACCGCTATATCATAACTGATTTCCAAAGCAGCCTAGATATGGATTCTATTTAAGCACCATAGAAAGTTTCAAACTCTAACATCAATTGGAGAAAATAATCGGAGTTCAAACAATAGTCGCAGAAATTCTCGGGACAGTCAACAAAAAGGTGTGATCAATGCTGCTATCACTACGTCAGACCTCAAGAAGGCTTTGCCTCAAACCTTGGATTTCTCTAAGGGTGTGAACCCTCCAAGTGCTCAAGGGACACCTTAGGCAGGTCAGAAAACCAAGTCCTACAATAAGGTGCCTCCACCTCGGCATCTTTATGAGAAGGATTACCTGAGTGGAGAAGAAAAAGAAAGTATACAGTTTCGATAAGGAGTTGGTTCCACTCTACTAAGAATGTTGATTGAGTAACAAATGATTACCTTGCCTGAGGTGAAAAGGCCAAAAGATGCTAAGTTTGCCAATCACAAGAGGTATTGTGCATATCCCAGAATATTAGGGAATCCTATTGAAGACCATGTCACCCTCAAAGACCCCATCGAGGCTTTAATTCCAAAGGGGCAGATACAAATCGATAGCCTCAAGAATGTTGTAAGGACCATAGATTTTCCCACTCATGAGATGCACATGGAAAAAGTGTAGCAGAAGAGGCCTAGCGCCGTATGTGTACAAGCGAGAGGGGGAAGAGCAACATCGTGCACGTAAAGGACCACCACCCCGCATGCATGGGAGCAACACCATGTGTGTGAGAGAGTAATGCCATGCGTGTAAAGGACCACCACCGCACATGAAGAAGAGGAAACACCGCACGTGCATGGGAGTAACGCCGCGTGTGTAAAGGGTAGCATCGCACATGTAGGGAGGTAACACTACGCGTGAAGTGGAGCATCGCCGAACGTTAAGGCAGAGAAGAGGTAACGTCGTGCATGAAGAGAAGATGTGACAGCTGACGTACCTGCCAGCGTCGCACCTGTCAGAGCCGTACATGTCAGCACCGCCCACTGTCAGCCACAGTGAGCTTCACCGACCTAGTCAGCAACAGTCGATCCCACTTACCATGGGAACTTAAGCCTTCTCCCCCTCCCCTATCATTGTCTTTTCCCTCATTAGCCTCACTTTCTCTTTCTCTAAAGAGCAAAGTGAGAATGAACTGCTGCCCTTGGAGAAGCCCTTGCTTGGAGCTTGAGGAGGCCCATGAGTGGGAGGTTTGAGGACACCATGAGCATCAGGTAAGTAGGTTTAGGGCTCATGCATCAATTAATTTTATAGTAATAGATTTCAAGAAATAAAGATGGTAAAAAATGGTAGAATAAAGGGTATGGACGTAGTTGAATTAAAATGAGGTTGAACAATTGATTAAGTATCGCAAATAAACTTGTTAAGTTTATGGAGTAGCGCACTTGCAAGTTTTGTTTAACCTGGTTGAGGTTTTACATCAAATTTTATCTTGTCTTATGAAATGTTGTGTTTTAATTAAAGCATGCCAAACTCGTAAAAGTAAATTTCCAAGAACTATGACGGTTTTTGTACCAAACGTTTCAGTGACCATACGATGTCCAAATGGGATCAAATTAGTCTTGAATGAATGATATGTTTGTCCACTACAATGTTGCTTTTCTTACCATGTTAAAATTTCATATATGCTCCAAAATGATAGGATATATCATTACCCACAATTTATGGAATTTTTAGCAACTGTTACCTATTTCGCATCAAACTTTTGACCTATCAAATGATGTTCAATCGCTTCCAAAAAGCAACAATTTGGAAGATATATGAATGAGCTTAATGTTTTATGTTAACATCATTATGAAATTTCCCAATAGATCAAGAGTTATGCCCCGAATCACGAGGGTATGTCACTGTTCACAATTGCAGGAATTCCTAGCAATGTCATTCACTTTCTGCCAAGCTTTTGATCTATCAAATGTCATCCAAATAGCTTCAAACTACTGCCATTTAAAGATCCACGTGTAAAATTAAATTTGCATGTTTGAAAAATTTTGAAATTCTCCCTATATTGGGAGTAACACCCCTGAGACAAGGGGTACATCACCATTACATGTCACAAACATTTTAGTCCTATGCTTCTATGGTGTTACCTTTTACTCGATTACTCACTAAGAAACTCTAGTGGCACAATGTTATCTTTGATAAGCGATAAGCGTGAGTGCTATGTGATAATTTTCATATGATGAATACAAGGTGTTATAATGTTATGTGTGTGGTGCTATGTATCTATGTGTTATGTGGAATTGATAAATGCCATGCTACTGTGATAGTTCCATGACGAATGTTACATGACAAGTCCCGTAATGCTAAGGTTGATTGCTAAGCTTAAATACAGTGTGATAACTCTCATATCATGGGTGTTTTATGCTTGGCATCATAATGTTATGTGATTGCTGGATAATTCTGCAAATGACTCAAACTTTGCATGATGAAATTTTGGATTACCTGATATGAGGCACTGATTTAGCTTGAATGAGTTAAATGCTTGGGCACGATATGATGCCGTGATAACGACAACAACGCCATGTAACACCCATTGGTAGTGGGTATTGTTCTGTTATGGTACTGTGATATTGGCCACTACACGATAGGGCACACATCTGTAGTGGATACCGTTATACTGATACTGCACGCTGCACGATGGGACATCCATCAGTAGCGGATACTGTTAAACTAAGAAAAGTGATGCCAGAAATACTCTATAACTCGTTGAATGATAGGATGGGGTTAGGTGAAAGTGGAATGGGAGGGTCACACCCCCCGAAATTTATATGATGAGACTAGTAAGTGATGCCTTGTAAGATACGTGCCTATCGAAAACCCCAATGCACGCTGGGGACCTTGTGCATGAGTATGAGGGAATTATGAAGTGGACTTAACCGCTTGTTGTTTCCCTCCCTCCTTAGGTACGATAGCGGTCTTAAGCAATAGGATTGGCTTAGCTTGATGGACAGGGCCTCTACTTCGGGAGTAGGTGAACTAAGGAGTCAGTGGGTAATATGTGAATGTTGATAATTGTAATGATTGAATAATAACAGAATAATACCTAGATCTACTTACTAGGCCCTTATAGCTCATCCTACTATATCTCCCCTCTTGTAGATTGCTATCAACATATCAAAAGAGCATAAAGTACGTGTTTTGTAGTCGGGAGTCAAAGTCACATTCTTTTGAGAAGAACCCAGATTTGGTATGTAATTGGGTAGTTTAGCCCAGTCCTTTTTTGTTTCTTAGAAAATGTAATATTGGGCCCTGGTTCCCTATACTCTTAAGTGTAATATTTTGGGAAGAATTTGATGAAGTACCTTTTATTAGTGTATGGATCCTTGCAATTTCAAATATTTATCTGCACTTAGAGTTATTGATTTAGTTCTTTGCCATGGTTTGCTTTGATCACCAATTTATTGGCGTTGAGTCAACTCTAACCTGAGTGACATGTGCTACCTGGGGATCATGAACCCACGCTCCATCACCACCCGTCGAGTATGTAATAGAGGTCAGGGTCGAGGGCAGGGTCGTGACAGTTATGGTATCAAAGCAACCAGGATAGGATTCTTGGCCTAAGGGGATTTTAGAAGAGTCCTTCGAATAGTTTTGAGAATCGATGAGCTCCTATGCTAGGTTGAAGATGCCGAGGGCTCATGCCAACAATGCGAGTTCAAGCAATGAGAACACCAAGATACTCGTTGAGTGTTATAGGACTCTGGGGCAATGACCCAAATGATGGAGTCGATACCGGCCCAGTCTACCCCCACCCCAGAGCATAACGACAGTGGCCTGAGAGAAAGATTTAGAAGGATGGCACCCCAACGAGGAGTAGAAAAGGCTGAGGGGTGGAAGAGACGGATAGAGAAGATTCTAGAAGTGTTAAACTGCTCGGATGAGCAGTAAGTTAGGTTGGGAGCCTTTATGTTGAAAGGAGAGGCTGAATAATGGTGGAACTCAATGAAGCAATCCTTGAGAGACTCAGGGACTGAGACCACTTCGAGAAACTTCTTGGTGGCATTCGACGAGAAGTACTTTCTATACTCCATTAAGGAGAGAAAAGAAGTGCAGTCCATTGAGCTTCAGCAAGGGGGCATGACAGTGGAACAGTATACTGCTAAATTTGCGAAGCTGTCTAAGTACGCGCCTCACATTATTAACACCGAGGCACAAAAGGTGGCTAAATTTGAAATGGGCCGTCGACCGGACATTAGAGGGAGAGTACTATCGGCCAACCTTAAGTCATATGCCCTATTAGTAGACCTCTCTCTGAAGATTGAGAGAGACTACAAGTACCATCGATCAAGGAAGGAGATGAATCCCATGCCATCGAGAAAATTTGGGAAGAAGCCCAAACAATTTCCAAGGAGGGATGTTAGAGGAGGGCCTTACCAGCATAACCAGAGGGCCCAGAAGGATTTCCCTGGCAATAGAGAGAATGGTCGATGACCGGTCCGCCCTCATTTCGGGAAGGACAACCACACTGCTGTCGAATGTTACAGGAAGTAGAACGTGTGCCTCAGGTGTGGCATTCCCAGCCACTGGGTTAAGGATTTCCCTATGATGAAGATAGAGGACCGACCAAAGATGCAAGGATGAGTATTTTCCCTCATTGAGCCAAAAGCTAAGGCATATACCTTGGTGATCGGAGGTATGATTTCTATTTGTGGTCTTAAAGTTAAAGCTTTGATTGACCATGGTTCCTCTCACTCTTTTGTACACCCCATTTTTCTTACTATCTAAATGTCGAGCTCGCATGTCTTGATTTTACTCTAGTAGTATGCACACCTGTGGGGGATTCAATGGAAACTGATAGAGTGTATAGACAGTGTGGAATTACAATTGATGGGTGTGACCTGCTTGTAGATTTGATCCTCTTAGAGATTCAGGATTTTGATGTTATTCTGGGCATGCATTGGTTGTAAACATGCCATGCCACCGTCAATTACCATGAAAAGATGATGACCTTTGAACGCCCTGACCAAACTGAGCTACACTTTGAGGGCACTTAGGATACTCCCCTTCTGCACACTATCTCTACTCTCTGGGCTTCTCACCTCCTAGCTAAAACGTGTCAAGGATATCTAGCCTATGGAATAGAAAATCGGGACGTCCAATCTCAGCTTGAAGGGATACCAATAGTAAGGGAGTACCCCGAGGTATTCCCAAAAGAGTTGCCATCCTGCCTCCAATGAGGGAGATTGAGTTAGCAATAAGTGTAGTCCCCGACACTGTTCGCATTTTTAAAGCTCGTATAGAATGGCTCTAGTAGAGTTGAAGGCGTTGAAAGAATAGTTGAGAAAATTGTTGGATAAGGGATTCATCCGACTTAGCGTGTCACCCTGGGATGCACTAGTCCTATTTGTGAAGAAGAAAGATGGGTCCTTGAAGCTGTGCATTGACTATAGGCAGTTGAACCAAGTAACAGTGAAGAATAGGTTTCCCCTGCCTAGAATCGATGACCTTTTTTACTAGCTCCAAGAGGCCCAAGTGTTTTCAAAGATTAATCTCCGATCGGGTTATCACCAACTGTGGATCAAGGAGGGAGACATCCCAAAGACCACCTTCAAACTTCGATACGGTCACTATGAGTTCCTTGTAATGTCGTTTGGGTTAACCAATGCCCCTACTGTGTTCATGGATTTGATGAATGGAGTGTTTTGTTCTTGGATGATTTCGTAGTGGTCTTCATTGACGATATTTTAGTATATTTGAAAAGCTGAGAACTACATGAGAAGCATCTGAGAACGATCTTGCAAACTTTGAAGTCAGAAAGAATGTATGCTAAATTTAGCAAGAGTGAATTTTGGCTCCCCAGTGTAGCCTTCCTAGGTCACATCATTTCTAAGGTTGGGATCACGGTCGACCCCTCTAAGATTGAAGCCGCACTCAAGTGGGAGCGACTAACAAATGTTACCGAAATCTATACTTTTCTAGGGTTAGCAGGATACTACAGGCTCTTTGTGGAAGGATTCTCAAAGATAGCGCTTCCCCTTACTCGGCTGACCCAAAAGAATGTGAGATTCGTGTGGTCAGAGGACTGCGAGAAAAGCTTTCAGGAACTTAAGAAGAGACTAACCACAGCCTCGATACGAACCTTACCTGAAGGAAATGAGGACCTTATGGTCTATACCGATGCATCCCATAAAGGGCTGGGATGTGTACTTATGCAGAGAGGTAAGGTCATAGCTTATGCCTCTAGACAATTGAAGCCGTATGAGAAAAACTATCCAACTCATGACTTAGAGCAATGGTTGTATTGTTTACGTTGAAGATCTTAAGACACTACCTTTATGGGGCCTAATTTAAGGTGTTCACGGATCACAAAAGCCTAAAGTACCTATTTTCCCATAAGGAGTTGAATATGAGGCAAAGAAGATGGATGGACTTACTGAATGATTATGACTGTACAAATGATTACAATCCAGGCAAGACTAACGTGGTAACCGACACTCTAAGCCAGAAAGCCGCAGTCTCAGTGGCACACCTGATGGTTCGAGAGATGGGATTGTTAGAGGATGCAATGGAATGGCACCCAACTCTACCCCCAATGCTCACCATTAGGAACACATACTCGGCCTTTAAACCTTAACAATTCATCATTGCTCATATTGAAATCCTATTTTTCTTCCATTTTCATTTCTTTAAGGCCTTTCATAAGTTGAGGATCTTCTATTTGCGCTACTCGAATCTGTTGGAAGAGCTGGAGCTCTACTCTCATACACGAAAGAATTCCGATCCCATCATTGAGGGGTAGAGTTGGGTGCCATTCCATTGCATCCTCTAACAATCCCATCTCTCGAAACATCAGGTGTGCCACTGAGACTACGGCTTTCGGGCTTAGGGTGTCGGTTACCACGTTAGTCTTGCCTGGATGGTAATCATTTGTACAGTCATAATCATTCAGTAAGTCCATCCATCTTCATTGCCTCATATTGAACTCCTTATGGGAAAATAGGTACTTGAGGCTTTTGTGATCCGTGAACACCTTAAATTAGGCCCCATAAAGGTAGTGTCTTCAGATCTTCAACGTAAACAATACAACCATTGCTCTAAGTCATGAGTTGGATAGTTTTTTTCATACTGCTTCAATTGTCGAGAGGCATAAGCTATGACCTTACCTCTCTGCATAAGTACACATCCCGGCCCTTTATGGGATGCATCGGTATAGACCATAAGGTCCTCATTTCCTTCAGGTAAGGTTCGTATCGAGGCCGTGGTTAGTCTCTTCTTAAGTTCCTGAAAGCTTTTCTCGCAGTACTCTGACAACACAAATCTCACATTCTTTTGGGTCAGCCGAGTAAGGGGAAGCGCTATCTTTCAGAATCCATCCATAAAGTGCCTGTAGTATCCTGCTAACCCTAGAAAACTATAGATTTCGGTAACATTTGTTAGTCGCTCCCACTTGAGTTCGGCTTCAATCTTAGAGGGGTCGACCGTGATCCCAACCTTAGAAATGATGTGACCTATTCACTCTTGCTAAATTTAACATACATTCTTTCTGACTTCAAAGTTTGCAAGATCGTTCTCAGATGCTTCTCATGTAGTTCTCAGCTCTTCGAATATACTAAAATATCATCAATGAAGACCACTACGAAATCATCCAAGAACGAAACACTCTATTCATCAAATCCATGAACACAGCAGGGGCATTGGTTAACCCTAACGGCATTACAAGGAACTCATAGTGACCGTATCAAATTTTGAAGGTGGTCTTTGGGATGTCTCCCTCCTTGATCCACAGTTGGTGATAACTTGATCGGAGATCAATCTTTGAAAACACTTGGGCCCCTTGGAGCTAGTCAAAAAGGTCATCGATTCTAGGCAGGGGAAACCTATTCTTCACTGTTACTTGGTTCAACTGCCTATAGTCAATGCGCAGCCTCAAGGACCCATCTTTCTTCTTCACAAATAGGACTGGTGCATCTCAAGGTGACACGCTAAGTCGGATGAATCCCTTATCCAACAATTCTCTCAACTATTCTTTCAACGCCTTCAACTCTACTAGAGCCATTCTATACGAGCTTTAAAAATGCGAACAATGTCGGGGACTACACTTATTGCTTACTCAATCTCCCTAATTGGAGGCAGGATGGCAACTCTTTTGGGAATACCTCGGGGTACTCCCTTACTATTGGTATCCCTTCAAGCTGATACACTCCCGCTACATGGTACACCTTGGGAGTACAAAATGTACCAAGATCTGAAAAAGATCTTCTGACGGCACAATTTGTGGCTAAGTGCTTGAAGTGCCAGCAAGTGAGCGCGGAACACCAGAAACCCGCTGGACTGTTACAGCCCTTGCTCATACCAAAGTGGAAATGGGAGCACATCAAGATGGACTTTGTTCTGGATTGCCAAGGTCAAGTGTGCGGCACGATAGTATTTCGGTTGTGGTGAACTAATTAACTAAAGCTGATCATTTCTTACGGGTTCACACAACCTATACCCTGGATAAGCTAGCCCAGTTATACATCAGAGAAATTGTGAGATTGCATGGTGAACCCATCAGCATTGTGTCAGATAGGGACACCAGGTTCACCTCGAGGTTTTGGCCAAGTCTGCAGTCAGCCTTAGGAACTAGACTTACCTTTAGCACCACCTTTCACCCCTAGACGGATGAGCAAATAGAGAGAACCATTTAAACTTTGGAAGACATTTTAAGGGTATGTATTACTAACTTTAAGGGAAGCTGGGAGGACCATCTGCCTCTAATAGATTTTTCCTACAACAACAGCTTCTAAGTCAGTATTCAAATGGAGCCTTATGAGGCCCTATATGAAAGAAAATGTAGGTCGCCCATCTGTTGGGATGACGTGGGCGAGAGAAAATTATTGGGACCCAAAATTGTTCAAGTAACCCAACGTCTTAGGATAGCCCAAAGTCTGCAAAAGAGTTATGCCAATAATCGCAAGTGAGGTCTCAAATTTGAAATGGGTAATTGAGTCTTCCTGAAGGTATCGTCGACAAAGGGAATAATTAGATTCCGTAGGAGGGGAAAGTTGAGCCCATGGTTTATTGGGCCTTTTGAGATTCTGGAAAGAGTTGGGAACATGGCATATCGACTTTCTCTACCGCCTAAATTGGCCAACATTCAATGTGTTTTTCATGTATCACTATTGAGAGAGTATCAACCTGACCCGTTCCCATGTTTTAGAGTACGAACCAATCCCACTCAGGGAAGACTTGACCTATGTTGAACGACCAATTAGGATATTAGACAGGAGAGTGTAGGTTTTGCGTAATAAAGAAATCCCCCTGGTCCAGGTGCAATGGCAATATAATTCATGGGAAGAATGAACATGGTAACGGGAGAACGAAATTCTAGAGAAGTACCCCCACCTTTTTTATTAACATCAATATGATTTTGAGGAAAAATTCCTTTTCAAGGTGGGGATGATATAAGGACCACAGATTTTCCCAGTCATGAAATGCACACGGCAAAAGTG